ACCGAGTTGCCTTATCCGTTTGCAGAGTTTAGCGAGTCCATCTTCAAGTTGACGAGATGAACTTCAACTTAGGCAAAGAAAACAAGTCATTCCGCGATCGGAAACTCTAGTTACTCCTAATTTCATGTTCTAATTTCTTAGTTTCCTTTCTTTAGCTTCTAGTTCATTGTAAAGAATCCTAAACTGATTTTCAACTCGTAAATACTCTACTTGTTGACTATTGGTTATTGAATTCATTTCTTTGTTTGTGCCTTTTCTTTTCGTGCTTTTCTCGTTTTTACTTCGTAGTTAATTCTTGAGTCCAGTCCGTTTGTTTAATCAAGTCGTCCGTTCTTCTTCAAACAAGAATCCATTCCAACCTAGAGTTGAAATTGGTACCTGGTGATCGATGGAATATAACAATCAACATCAGTCGTGCCAATTGAGAGGCAATCAAAGATGTGTAAACACGAGTGATTGTGAGTTCAATTTATTAACGCTAACGTTGTATGCTGCTAGTTTTTGTGAGTTGTTTTAATGTCAGGTACAACGGAGGCAGGAATAGATACTCAAGCACCCATCAGAGAAATTACATTGGCAACTTTGTTGGAAGCGTTGAACAATGTGAGAGGTGATATAGCACGGATGGACGGTTGGATTGCTATGGTGGAAGGTCGAATCAACTCCAATGACTTTACACCACAAGCTACCTTTTGTGCTTCTACAAGTGGGCACGAACACACTCACTCTCCTACTCTCACACCCAGAACCCTCCACCAAGCCTTGCACCCAACATTTGTGCAATTGGGTTCAAATAGACAAAGTACCCATCGACCATTCCATTTTCCTCTTAGTCAAGAATCTCCACCAAATCAAAGCCATCCTTACCAAAACACCACCTAATCGAAATATTCCCTACCAAAAACCACAACCACAACCCAATCCCATGAATGAGGTGAGGATTGATGAAGATCAAGGAGGTTATGAGGGTGAAAGTGAAGAAGCCCCATTGAATGAGTGACCAAGGAATCGACAAAGAGGTCAATTGTTGCAAGGTGGACCAAGAGGTAGATTGGGTCCAATGCCATTTGAAATGAGGCAACATGGGAACCACCCCCAAGGTGGAGACCAATGGGATGTCAATGTCAATCAAGAAGTTGGTCAAGAAGTTAGAGAAGGACATGGTAACCGTTATCAAAGGGGTTACTACCACAATGGCCAAGGTGGCCATGGAGGCCGGATGTTCGTATCAATTCTTTCAAAATGACTTTTCCAACATTCAAAGGGGAATGCAATCCCGATGCTTACTTAGAATGAGAGTCGTAATGTGACCAAAATTTCAATGTGAATTAATTGGCAGAGGTCAAAAGTAGTTGTTAAGTTATCGCCCAATTCGAGGGGTATGCTGTCACATGGTAGGAATACATGAAGAGGTATTAGTTAATTGTCCAAGAAGGTCATCCTCCACCATGGCCCGAGTTGAAAAGATTGATGAAAGCCAAGTATGTTCTGGAAAGATACCGCCAAGGATTAGTTACCAAATTGTATAACTTGATGCAAGGAAGCAAAAATGATGAAGCCTATCATGATGAATTCCAAAACATCGTCATGAAGTTGGAATATAGAGAAATTGAAGAGCATGTCGTGATTCGCTTCAGAGTTGGGTTGAACAAAGAGATCTCTTTGAAGATGACCATTCATAGGTTTGCCACTTTGAATGATGTATTTGAGGCATCCCATGAGATAGATCTAGAATTCAAGGAGGAGAAGGTGGCTAAGTACAAGACTTCATCTTCTAATTCTTGGAGCAAGAACAAAGGGGGTACTCAAACATCGTCGGGTTGGAACAAGGGTTCGGATGTTAAGAAGCCTTATGAGAAGAAGCCCTTCGAAGGAAACACTCCAAAGTACCTACCAAGAAACAAAGGTATCACTGAACCAACCAAGTTCCCTAAAGGTATTCAATGTCACAAATGTAGGGGATGGGGTCATATAATGTGTGAGTGTCCTAATCGATTGATTGCTCTACTTCAAGGAGGGGAAATATATCTTAGTGAAGAAAAGGAGCAAGAAGAAGGTTGTGAAGAGGACCCTCAAGAGGAGGATTAGTTTAAAGATGGAGAAGATGAGGAACCAGACCTATGTGTCAAAAAAGGAGGGAGTGTCGCTCCTCTATATGTGGTGAGACAAGCATTTGTTAGTAAGGCCTTGGATGATCCGATCCAAAGAGAGAATCTATTTCACTCCAAATGCTTCATCAAGGATAATGTATGTTCCTTAATCATTGATAGCGGGAGTTCTGCAAATGTTGCTAGTACCGCATTAGTGGAATTCTTAAAACTTCCTACCACTAAGCATGCTACACATTACAAACTTCAATGGTTGAGTGAGTGTGGAGAATTGAGGGTGCATCGACAAGTGATGATCAAGTTTAATATTGGGAAGTATCAAGATGAGGTTCTATATGATGTGGTCCGAAAGCACGTTTGTCATGTGCTACTCGGGAGACCTTGGCAACATGATCATTCATCCAAATATGATGGGAGGACCAACAAGTATTCACTTGTGTTGAATGATCATAAATATGTTCTTCATCCTATTTCCTCCTCTCAAGTCAATGATATTTATCAAAGGATGAGTGAGTCGAGGGAAAAGAAGAAGTGTGAAGAGGAACATGTGGAGGCCGAGAGCCAAGAAGAGGAGGAGAGGAGGAAGTTGAAAGGAAAGGCCTAAGTATTGTTGGCTAATTACAAAGAAATAAGGGAGGAAATTGAGTCTGAAAGTTCTTTGATCCTTATCACACATAGGGATCATGTACTAAAAACTAACCAATCTCATTCTTCCCTTCCCAATTCTATTTCATTTCTTTTGCAGGATTATGAGGATGTCTTCCCAAAGGAACTTCCAAGTGGATTGCCCCCTCTCCGAGGAATTGAGCACCAAATTGATTTTGTGCCGGGATCACAATTGCCAAACAAGCTAGCGTATCGAAGCAATCCGGAGGACACCAAGGAGCTACAACGGCAAGTTGAGGAACTCCTCAACAAATGTTATGTGAAGGAGGCATGAGCCCATGTGCCGTGCCGGTTCTATTGGTTCAAAAGAAAGATGGAACATGGCGCATGGGTGTTGATTGCCAATCCATCAATAGAATTATGGTAAAATATAGTCATCCTATTCCTAGATTAGATGATATGCTTGATGAATTGAATGGCTCTTGTGTGTTTTCAAAGATTGATTTTAGGAGTGGTTTTCATCAAATCCGGAGGAACCCCGGTGATGAATATTAAACCGCATTCAAGACCAAGTTTGGTCTATATGAATGGTTGGTGATGCCATTTGGTCTCACTAATGCTCCTAGTACCTTTATGCGTCTCGTGAATAATGTGATGAAACCCTTTATAGGGAAATTTGTGGTTGTCTATTTTGGTGATATCTTGATTTATAGCAAGACCATGCATGATTATGTTGAGCATTTGAGATGTGTGTTTGATGTGCTTAGGAAGGAACAACTTTATGCTAATGTTGATAAGTGTTCATTTTATGTGGATGAAGTTACCTTCTTGGGTTTTGTTGTGAGTTCAAGAGGGGTTGAAGTTGACGTGTCTAAAGTTGATGCTATTAAGAATTGGCCAATTTAGAAATCCATAAGTGATATTCAAAGCTTTCATTGGTTGGCTAGCACCCCCCTTGACAAAGGTAATGCGAAAGGATAAACCTTTTAAGTGGGGAGAGAAACAAGCCAAGGGTTTTGAGGCTTTAAAATCTATGCTTAGTTCCCCTTCTTTGTTGCAATTACATGATTTTGATAAAACGTTTGAAGTGGAATGTGATGCTAGTAAAGTAGACATTGGAGCCATCTTAATGCAAGACCAAAAGCCCATTGCTTATTTTAGTAAAAAGCTAAAAGGTGCTACTTTGAATTATTCCACTTATGGTCTTGAATTGTATGCCTTGATTAGGGCTTTGGGTAATTGGCAGCGTTACTTGTGGCCTATGGAATTTTTCATTAGGACTGATCATGAGTCCCTAAAGCATATTCAGGCCCACGGAAAGTTGAACAAGAGGAACGGCAAATGGTCTGTATTCCTTGAAACTTTCCCTTATGTAATCCAATACAAAAAGGGAAAGGAAAATGTGGTGGCTGATGCCTTGTCTAGAAAACATGTGTTGATAAATACTTTGCCTTCCAAATTGATTGGCATTGAATGTTTGAAGGCATTGTATCCCAAGGATCCCGTGTTCGCTCAAATCTTCAAAGATTATGAGGAATGGGAGAGGGAAAGGTGTATGAGGGATAGTTCTTCTACTCCCTATTCCAAGTTTGATGGTTTCTTGTTCAAAGGTGAGATACTTTGTGTGCCTCTGAGCTCTTGGAGAGAACTATTTGTGAGGGAGGCATACAATAGGACTTTAATGGGTCATTTTGGTATTGAGAAAACTAGGGGAATTCTTGAGGAACAATTCTATTGGTCTAAAATGCATAAAGATGTTGTTCGAATTTGTGGTCAATGTGTTAAATGTCGACGTGCTAAGTCACGCCTCCTTCCCCATTGTTTATACACTCCCCTCCCCACCCTTCAAAGGCCTTGGTTTGATATTTCAATGGACTTTGTTTTGGGTTCGCCAAGGACCAAAAGAGGTAGAGATAGCATCTTTGTCGTCGTTCACCGATTTTCAAAGATGGCTCAGTTCATTCCCTGTCATAAATGTGATGATGCTACCAATGTAGCGTCTTTGTTTGTTGAGCATGCTGTTAAATTGCATGGAATTCCTCAAACCATTGTAAGTGATAGGAATCCAAAATTCCTTAGTCAGTTCTGGAAGGAATTGTGAGGTAGACTTGGTACAAAGTTGTTATCAACTTCGTGTCACCCACAAACTGATGGCCAAACTGAAGTTGTGAATAGAACCTTGGTTCTATGTTTCGTGCCATCGTGTAGGGAAAGTTGGCCTCGCGGGAGGAACATTTAACTTTAGTTGAGTTTGCATATAATCGAGCTATTCATAGTATTATTGGCATGAATCCATTTGAAGTGGTTTATGGTTTTAACCCCCTAACCCCTTTAGATCTCACTCCTCTTTCTCGAGTTGTTGTGTTAAGGTTAGATGGGAGTGAGAGAACTGAAGCCATGTGGAAGCTACATGAAAGGGTGTGGCTGCACTTAGAGAAGTCGAACAAAGATGTAGCAAAAAGGGCTAACAAGGGCCGTAAGGGGATCGTGTTTGAACCGGCTGATTGGGTGTGGGTACACTTTCGTAAGGAGCGTTTTCCCACCCATCATAGGATGAAGTTGATGCTGCGAGGTGATGGACGATTTCCAGTTATTGAGCGGCTCAACGACAATGCCTACAAGGTTGCCCTTCCTCCAGAATATCAAGTGCGCAACACTTTTAATGTGTGCGACCTGTCCCCTTTTCCAACTGTTGGTGATGATGATCCGTCGAATTTGAGTACAAATTCTTTTCAAGAAGGAGAGAATGATGCAATAAGAATTTCAACAAGGCCATTTACTGGAAGCCAAGCTCAAGACCTTCAAAGGATGCAAGGGTTATTTATGAAGATGGAAGTGCTCGAGATGGTGTTGATGACAAGCAAGGACTTTCATACCTTGAAGATTACAGAAGAAGGCACTATTGGTGAGCAGGGCCCACTTAGCGCGTCGTCCAAAGGCTTAGGTAATGGTCCCAGATCACCTAATGCCCCAGAACGTGACCATGGCTGAAGATCACGTAGAGAAGCTCACCTACAAGGTCAGCGTATCGCCCCACCCACTTGGAGACCCGACCCAGCCTGCCTAATGCTCCATTATGTGATCATGGCTGAAGATCACGCAGAAAAGCTCGTCTATCAGGTCGGCCGATCGCCCAACCCACTTGGCGACCCAACCCAGTTCGCCCATTGTCATTCTGGGTCACTTTTGGGCCCTTTTATCTAAAACCTATAAATAGCTAGCTAGGGTTCATTTTAGACTTAGACTATTTTGAATATTGATGAATGATCATTTTAACTCCTTGTGTGAGTGATGAAAGCTTGGTAAGCTTTTGTTGAACATTGTTTAGAAATGAGGGTTGCTTGGGATCTCGATTCCATTGAGGTCTTCGTAAGAGGTAGGTGCTATTGTAGGATTAACGGATTGAGGTCATTGGGTTTAATATACCCTTTGATTGCATTTTGTTTCCTCTTTGTGTGTCTATCTGTTTATCTTGATTAGGTGCTTGTTTAGGGATTATGATTGGAGGTTTTAGGATTTAATACACCCTTTAGTTGCCAATTGTTCCTCTTCTTGTGTCTCTTCTTCTATCTTTTCTTTTGTTTCCGCGTCGATTGTGATTCCCCTTGTGAGAACTACATCAAAAAGGGTAGAAAGCCCACATAACTAGATCTAGTGCCCCTCCATTTATCAGGATGGCACTCTGTCCTCCCAACAACATACTCCACTCAACACCATGAGCATCATCATATGTAAACAAGTAATAGAGAAAGGTGTCCGGCAATTCAACTTCCTCCAAGATGTTTTCATGGGTATGACTACTAATAGATTCAAACTCATAAGTCATACCATTGACAATTGGGACACACCAAGAAGAAAAGGGAATGGGAAAACAAACACCACCTTCCTCATCATCATATATTTTCCCTACAAGAGTACTCTCATTTTCTAAGAAGAGATTTCCATCTTTGGGAGGAAAAGCTTCATACCATAGTGGGTTATTATAGCAAGTATAGTTATCAAGAACTATACTACTTTCATGATTCTCACCACTAGGTACATCGCTAGGAGTGATTTTATCATCTTCAAATAGGATATTGTACTTACAGAGGGAATGATCAACTACTAGGGAATAATTAAAACATTCAAGTTCACCGTAAAAAAGACACATCAATTTTCGAAGCATTTTCAAGCACATGATTTCTATGAGCAAAGCAAGCAATTGGATCTTCCACAATAGATATGCTCAAAGAGTCACTCCTAATCAGATGATCAACATTCTCATTAGTGCCACCAACTTGAGGTTCCTTAATCACATTACAACGACCCTCAACCTGTGGACTACACTTAAAACAGGTTGATCAACACAATCATTACAAAATAATGAGCTAGCATTCAAAGCATAGGTGTCAACACTAGGTGGACACAAATCTATCTTACTAGAAGAATCAATTCGGTCATCAATAGGATCAACTAGTGTATCCACATTCTCAACAAGCACATTATCAACACATGGTAAAGAATCAATAGGCTCACATAAAGACAAGCTAACATTCATACTTTGCTCATTTGCAATGGTAAAAGTGTTAAGATTAGCTATTGTACCTTGACGCCCGCAAGAAAGATCTTATTTACCTTGGATGTTGAAACATCCCATTAGTGCATTGATCACACCTTCAACCGTAGGCTCTTTGGCGGGAACTTGTGTTCCTCCATTCTTCATGTTTGTACCTACATAAGAATCCTTACCAATTGAAGGATGAACAACAATATTAGATTGAGATAGTGGCAACCCTCTCACTTCACTCCTCTCAACCTCTCCTTTTTCACTCTGAGATTGCCACCTTGCTTTCCCTTACTCCTCTCAATCTTTTGTCTCTTATTTTTCACCTTAGGAAGAGGAAATAGAGGTGTTCCCCAATGATCCACAACATACTTGTACCCATTCTGCTCGTTTGGAACACCATGTTCAGTAAACCAATTGCCCCCCAAACTTAAGTGACAAGAAGCCATGGGCATTATATCACACCAAACCTTCTCATAGTATTTACCATGTGTGAAAGAGACTCTTACTCCTTTGGTAACTTTATATCCCTCCATGGTGTATGGATAAGTCCTTTGTAGTCGAGGTAGTCCCAAGTAGGCTACCACCTCTGGAGTGATGTAGTTTAGGTTGTACCCATCATCGAGGACAAGGTCAAGTCCCAAAGCCCCACAAATGCCAACCTTTATCTAACAACTAGTCTTCTCGGATCGACATTGAAAAGCTTTGTGCACCCCTTTGGCACATACCTGGACCTCATCAACCTCTTCAATTCTTTCCATGTCAATAGGTAGGTATTTCCTTGGAGTGTTCGGAGCCTTCCCTCTTTAGTCCACCAACCCAATGCAAGACCTTTCAAATGAAAAAGGGTATATAAGGGTCGCTCTTGACTTCTCAAATCATGGGTTTGGAAAGTCTTCTCACATTGCCACTCCCAATCAAGATATGCCTCGGGATCACGCCTTCCTTCAAAGATAGGAAAATCAATCCTTTTGGTACGGAGAACCTTAACACTCCCTCATACTTGCCTTGGTTGCCATATCCCAAAAAGTGTGCATTACCATGAGAAGTATAGGATATAGTATCCTTAAACTTTACATTTGCACACTCTCTCCGTCCCCTCGGATAACTATGACTTGAGTTAGTGTAGCCACACACACTACTTCGACTCTAGTAAGGATTAGCACAAGAGTAAGAATATGAATCTTCACAAGCCTTAGGGGCATACTCCTCATACTTCTTATATAATAGATTATTATACCACACCTTACCTTCATCCTAGGAGTGGGAAGTGTAACATGTTTCGGCATTGTCACGACCCGAGAGCATCCTGTAGTCGTAACATGGCGTAGTTGACCTCGAAGGGGTCGCATACAAGCTCTTAGCACATTCTTAACATAAGATAAATACAAAATACAGAAGAATTTAAAACTTTTACATTCGAAGTCATTTTCTCTTAAAAGCAAATGGAACACTTTCTAGACTTTGTATCAAACCATCTATTAGAAATTTATAGAATAACTCTTAGGACACAGCCCATACAATAGTTTCAACATGAATAATAAAGACATAAAGTAAGTGGGTTTCATCCTCGAAGTTATGAGGACTCACCAAGATCTTCAACTCTTCTAAGCCCTTGAAACCTAGCCTTCAAACGAACTCAATCTCCAAGACCCTACATTTTGTTAGAATGTAGGCAATATGTGTTAGTACAAAACGTACTAAGTATGAAAGCTAGAATACATCATAAAAGAATCTCAAATGGTTAGTCAACATAAGACATAAGCACAAGAGATAATAACAAGTCATAACATAATCATTATAGTCATTACATGGTCTCCAACATAAGCAACATAAACATATAAGTCAACATAAGGTATAATAATGAACATAGGAGACAAGACATAGTAAGTAGAATGGACTCTTGGTCATCTTTACCCTCATAGTTTAAGTGTATAGTCAACTCTTAAGTCTTTCTACCACAAGGGTACCACACTTGTAGGTAACCTCAAGGCACCCTTGTGCAATGCATAAAGAGCATCCCATAATACCCCTCGCGCTAAGAATCACCTTGAAGTCATCCTAGTCATATTCACCCTCCTTTGGTATCACTATTGACTTACTTTAAGTAGACAAGGGTACTATCACCTCTTAGTCAATCATGTCTTATAAAGCATCTATAGTAACTATCATTCAAGCATAACTCATGTAAGACAACACTTATTAGGTAACCTTTAGTCATACTTGTGCAAGGCATGAGTATCATCCCATAATACTACTCATACTAAGTACTCATTTAGGTCATCATACTCATGTTCCCTAATTAGAGACTAGCCCTTCTTTTTCAAGTATAGGAACTCTAGGATGACACTTTGCTAAGTCTATCTAGTTCCTTCTTGTTTGAACTCTAAGAGATACTACCCTAGGTACATCTAGTTCATCATGTTTGAACTCTTGGAGATGCTACTTAAAGCATAATCTAAGTTCACTAAACTTGAACTCTTGGAGATGCCACTTAAAGCATGATCTTAGTTCATTATAAAGTTGAACCCTATGAGATACTTTTTTTTATCATGTTTAAGTTCATTTATCATTATGGACTCTATGAGGCCTTACTTAGGCATATCTAAGTCCCTTCATACTATTGACATTATGAGGTACTTACTAACTTGTCTTAGTCCCTCATTACTTAGAACCCTAGGATATACTATATTGAGTACATCTTAGTTCATCATGTTTGATCTCTAGGATATACTACACTAGGTATATCTTAGTTCATTAAGTTTGGTCTCTAGGAGAAGCCCTTTCAAGCATAATCTTAGACCATTACTTGCATTGGACACTAGGAGATGCTTCATTATGCATAATTTTAGTCCATGAGGTTTGAACTCTAGGAGATGCTACATTTAGCACAATCTTAGTTCATTACTAATCTTGTTTACTTGGGATATTGCCTTAATCGACATGAGAACATATGATCTCTCATGGTGTTACCCACACCATCAAGGGTTGGTCCACTTTCCAAGGTGGAACTGGTTTGTTAGCTTAGTCGGATCCACTAGCTAACTTCTTATGGGGAATGTAGTTAAGGGATACAAAGATTTCTACCAGAAACCCAAACTCCACTAGGTGAGGTTTCCATCTCATGAGACACACTTGGGGAAATTAATACTCTTCTAGGTGAGAGATCCCTTGTGGAAAGCCCAAACTAACTCTGTGGGAACCTCCATGAAAGCCCAAACTCATCTAGGTGGGAACGTATATTCTCATTTCAATATCCTCTCGGTGCTAGGCATAAATCCCACAAGATAATCATTAAGTCTCTACTAGGACTTAAGTTAATGGAAAGGTGTTCTTGATCCCCAACCCATGCTAATACCTCTTTTAAACCATGTGTGAGCCACTATCACAATCCATGACCTAGGTATAAAGACTCTCTATCCTTAGGTTCAATTAGTTAGGAGAAGTC